CGGTGAATAATGTATCTTTCAAACGCATATACTCACACAAAGATGGCGGCACCAGAAAATGCCCTGCCAGAAAAGTTCGGAAACTTTTGACACACACCTTGTAGTACTCCGATTTTTTTGAATTTTTTTCTCGATTTAAGAGTATTTAAAAAACTTGCTGTTCTAAAAATCATGCTCGTGGGATTAAAAAAAAACGACATTGTAATTTTTTTTCCATTATTTATGTATATATTCTTTATGTATCCTATGGCAGCTATATTATAGAGTTATCCGATTTTGATAAAATGTTATCCAAAAATTAATAGCAGTTAGAAAACGCCATCTGTAAGAAATCAAGTCGATCTGATCAAAAACAGCTGCCTGAGAATTTTTTATTTCATTGTCTCGTATGGGAGCTATCCGATATAGTCGTTCCGACGTACATATACTCGTATACTGCGTTCAATAACTACAAAACTTTTGGAAAAGTTTCAGCAAGATAGCTTTAAAACTGAGAGACTAGTCAATTTTCAATATTAAGGCAACATTCTCTCTCCTATCGGACTTCCCGGACGGGATAATCGGCTTCGATCTGTTAATAACATAGGCTGGGGCATCGTTTTGCTTAGAATCCGAAAATCTTAAATGGGGCACGGAGTTCGAAGAAATTTCCTTCCACACCTGCGCTGATGTCAATATTACTAACGTAGAATGTTCGATGCACCCACTTTTATTAAAGACGCATTCATGAAAATGCTAAAAAGTAGAAAAAAGGTCTTTGCGGACCCTAATTACGCTCTGCCATATAATACGTCAGTAGTAGCTACTATTAGAACAGAAAATGAAGAGCCTGTTTATGCCAAACTGTAACCGTACCCCAAGGGGTTGGCCGGTTTTGTTAACAAAGAAATTCAAAAACTGTGGAGTAACGGTATAATTCAAAAATCAGTGTCAATCACAATGACGACATTTCATGGGAATCGCCAAATTTTGTTACGTTTTTTTTTTTTTTTTGGAAAACGAAGAATCCCATGTTTCGCGCGTAGATTGGGTTCCTAAGAATCTTTACGAAGCAAACATGAGGGTGTCAGTAGAAAAATCAAAAAGAGTGTAGGTTTTCTGGGGTGCATAGTCATCAGTAGCGGTGCAACAAGCGACCCAGAGAAGGTCAAAGCCATTCCAGACTTCACTGAACCAATTTCCGTATTTAAAGTTAGTTCATTCCTCGGCCTGGCAAACTACTATAGATATTTTTTATAAAAGTAAAAAGAAATACATACTCGTAAGTAAGTAATAGCAAGACCCATTTCAGACATCTTAAAAGGCGAAAACAGAAGTGTTAATAGGCATAGGTCACGAAACATTCCGGTACCGTTCTCTAAAACGCAGTAACAAGTGTTTCAGAAGCTTCGTAGCTTAGTATCTGAAGATGTGATGCTAAGGCAGTGGCGGAACTTCGGAAACCTGCGTGTTACATACAGCGTGTCGCCAGTCCTTCCTTGCCCTACTTCTTCCCTTGTCTATCCCTCCTCCTAAGACTAACTGGCCTAGCATTGCTACATACGCATTCCGAAATCAGTATTCACATCGAGAGAGTTATAGAAAAGTTTTTAAAAAGAGGGAAAAGAAAAATGGAATTCGCCATTTAGATTAAAATTAATAAATTTATTTGTACAGTGTGTTTTGAATAAAACTGCGTATAATTTTTGATTATTTGCCACCTGCTACTTGCATTATTTAAAAAAAATTTTGATCGCCCCCCCAAGGCAGATACCTGTATCCGCCCCTGTGCTAAGGTACCCTAATAACAAAAAGGCGTTGGATTTTACGACAGACGCTTCTGCCTATGGTATTGGTGCAGTCATATCTCAAGAAGGAAAAACAGAAATCATTTACACCACAAATGAGAGGGAGTTATTAGGCATTGAATGGGCTTGGCCAAACTACGGCACTATTTATATGCGGAAAAAGATATAAATATCTTTACCGACCACCAGATTTTGCGGTATCCGAATCCAATCCGAATGCAAAAAGCAAAAGGTAGAAAGCACGCATTGACGAGTTTGGTGAGCGTATTTGTTACAAACCCGGTTAAGAAAATCCTGTTGCCGATACACGTTCTCGGCAGCAACTTAATGTCATGGGGAAAAGGGGCTGAATCGTGGGCAGTCACTATACACAGCAGACTCTCCCTGATCCACACAATCGAATCAACGGATAAGCCCGTGAACTGCTTTCAGAATCAAATAACTCTGGAGAAGGCACGCTTTCAGTTAAAACGGAGCTTTGTACTCTTTGAAAACAAGAGACGACACGCGGTAAACTTTTTCTGCAAAGAGGCATTACTTCATGAACTCGCAAGCCATGAAGAAAGACTAAAGAAAAGAGGCAACACTACGTTGCTTGTATATGCATGTCTAGAGGGCAGTGATTTTTCTTCAGATCAAGTGAAAGTTTGAAGTCGATCAGACGTTCTGTTTGTGTTTTATGCGTGTTTCTCGGAAGTGATTTTTTAAGTTGCGTCACGAAAATGACCGATTTTCCATACAAGCAACGTGTCGTGATCGAATCGGTCTATTGGTTGTACGTGACTTCTTGGCTAACAAGGAAACTCCAACGTTGCCGCAGCCACCCTATAGCCCTGATATAGCCTCCTGCGACTTATTCTTATTCCCTAAGATGAAGTCATTCTTCAAAGGAGTACATCATGGTGACGTACGGGAGGTCAAGAAAGCCGTGACGAAGGTGCTGAACGGTCTAACTTCGGAGGATTCCCAAGGGTGGCAGCAAGGTTGGAAACATTGTGTAGAGTTAGATGGAGACTATTGTGAAGGTCGATAATAAACTTTCGACTCAAACTTGATTTGCTCGTGTTTTTCCACACCTCGGATCTAATACTTTGTCTATTCCTATCCTTGGTGTCGGCTCACAGTACTGATTATTTACAGGCCAAGTACATCTCCATCTTTGATGGTGAGGTCCTAGTATGGGAGGAGTTCGCATTCGTCACACATACGGCGAACCTCTCATAATATGCGCGCGTAATAGAAGAATCAAACAACATGATCGACATGTTTCCACGATCCCACATGAAGAAGCTTCTAAGCGTAGATACTGGTCACTATCAGGACTTGTTAGCATCGTTGGGTGTTCACCACAGAGTAGCTAGGAGTTTAGATTTCTTAGGATCGATACTAAAGGTCGTAGCAGGGACACCGGATACCGGTGACTTAGAAAAAAAATCAGATTTACCGAAATGAAGTTAGTTAAGCAAATTCAAATAAACACTAAAATTCAAAACCAAATTAATTAACTAACCTCTACTGTCAACTTAGTTTAGAGCTCGGCTAAAAACTCACAAGTAGACACTGGACACATATATAAGACACTACTTGCTAGAAACAGAATGCCTATGATGAAATTACAAAATTTTATGCATGCGATAACCCTTGCCAAAATTAATATTGTTAGTCCGAATATTTTAGATCATGAAGACTTAAAATCAGTTGGCTGGCCCACTAACACACCCATAGGATATCTTTTGTCTGTCTCGTCTGTAAAAGTTTCTTAAAATTAAACTAGCATGTAAATAGATAACAGTTTTTCCAGTTGCCCATAGTGAGACAATTTTGCAGATAAAAGACAACGTCATAGCGGAATTCAATGGAGAAATTCATGTCATTATAAACTGCTCCGTATCACCTGAAGCCACATTCTGCCGTTTGGCATCAAAGAGTTCATGCGCCAAAGAACTGCATGAAAAGGACGATAATCACCCGTACATAATAAAGTCGCTAATATACCCTCGTCTATATCAGAAAATACTCCTGCCTTATCCGACAAATTAAAAATAAAATAGGGAAAGTATCTTTCATACTACCATCTAGAAAAGAGGTAATATACCAGATACAAATCTTTAAGTCCTCAATAAAAACAAATAATGCAGTGTAACGAGTGTGCTTTCCTTACACATAACGGGTGGCCCACGAAAGATTTGCGTTTTAAAATCGCCATAAAAAACGAGTATCTATTTAAAAAAAAAAAAAAATTTATTGGATAGCCTCAACATTGCGTTTTATGTATGAAACACCACTTCGTTCATATGGCTGCCTGGGCTGGCTTTACAGTAGCAAATTCGGTCGACCCAATTTTTAAACACATTTTCGATAGTATGGCGACTTCAATCACGTCAATCATGACGTGACTACAAAAGTAGTCCAACGGGATCAAATTGCAGCTGCGAGGCGGCCAATTGTCATCTCCGTTTCGGCTTATTATGGGGTTTTCGAACCAAACAGTCACTCGTTGTGGATTTTCTTAAACCCAAATGCGACAGTTTTGCTTATTAACATAACCACCGAGGTGGAAATGGACATCATCAGAAATCACAATTTTTCGTGGGTCTTTGGTTAAAATCCGTTGCAGAGAAGTGCGCGACTTGTCCAATTCTTGAGCACTGGACTGGACGAGCACGTAAACGTGCTGTTTTATCTATCAACGATCCAGTCTCACGCACACCCTTCTCAAAACTCTCTAAACTGCCTGGAAGGCGCCTAATCTTTTCCGAATTTCGACCGCAATATTCTTGCAGTTTCTGTTGAAGACTCTCTTTTCAATATTTCCCAATTTTCTCGAGCGTAAACTTAACCATTTCGTAATCTGCAAACCTTCTACAAAATATCTGACACATTGAAAATGACATTCGTAATGTCAAAGTCAAAATTATTGATAGTTCAAAAAGCAAACGCTAGATAGGCCACCCTGTAGTAGGTATAGAGTCTTATCATTCTGTGACACTCACAGTTATTATATTACAACATCACATATGGATTCTACACATAAAAATGCAGCAAAATACCTTTTCGTCAAATTTAAGATTGTTTATTTGAATAACAGGTATCTGATAGTCGAGGCCCTGGACTATAGCGTTTTCTCTTGACATATCTTACATTGGTTTAATGAAAAACTTTTTGATTAATTATAATAATTAAGCAACTTTGTATTCCTTTTATTGTACTTACGTTCTCTTATTTTGTGTGCGGAAAAATCAAGGTTAACACCTTTTAATTGTTCTAAAAAACTCGTATTCCGACATTGTTTAAGAAATGAGTGCGTCATTAATTTGGTAGCAGTCCATCGAGACAAAGGAGTTTTATTTAAACATAGTTCAATAAACTGAAGAAAGTTATCTGAAAATACTTTTTTCATTGATAAATCACGGGAACACAGTTGTATTTTACGGTCCAATGAAACAGAGTCTAAAAATAAAAAAATGGTAAATGTAAAGGATATTTTTAGAAAATATAAGAAAGGTGGTACCTAATTCATTAGTTATGTATAAAAATATTCCCTATGCCATAAAACCATTTCTTGTGAACTGCCAATCAAGATTTTTTAAAGAAAGGAATCATCATTAAGAAACAAACATTACCTTTAAAGCTATTTTATCGTAACATAAAATTACACATTTTTATATTTGTTGTTGTATTTTCAGGATGTAAACATAAAAATTTAGGTTTATTTTAGAACAAAAATTTTTTTTTTAATTTGTTAGAAACGATTATAACATAACATTATAGAATAAAATCGACGTTAATATTTTTTATGCATTTTATTTCTCTTATGGCAGCTATATGACACAGTCGTTCAATTCCGACAACGAATTACTAACTGATTGACGACTTAAGATGGTTCCCACTATGACTATAATACGTAGGTGGGCATAATAAGTGCGGTAGGTGAACCAATTATAAGCTGTGTCACATACGGTAAGACGTGTTACACAGTATACGACGCGATGAAAGCACACTTTCGAGAGGTTAATGTAACTTGTGTTACAAAAGCAACTGCTTTTGATCGAATTGTAATGTTATGTAATGACTTGTAGCAATAAGTAAATATGAATATGCGAAATGTGATATGTTTTATTGTACAATGAACTGACTTAAACTGTAAATAAGTTTTGTTGTCCTCAACTGTGATGGTAATGCCTCAGTGACCTATATTACAGACAGTAGTTGGCTTATGCCATCAGCCATGTTATATATAGGGTGTTTTTTTCGAGAACATTGAAACATTAAGTTGTCATTACTGTTTAAAATGGCGACCGATTTTACAGCTGTCAATTGATTTATTCTCAGTTTGGTTTGGCAATTCACTCTTGAATTGGCTCGGTGGTCCAGCTGGTCTCCGAGTTGGAAGGGCCGCGTTCGAATCCCAGGCTCCCCGAGAAAAAGAAATGGTCTCTTTTTCCAAAGCTCCATTTTTTCTAGGCTCTACCGCTCACTTAACATTAGTAACAAATTTCGGATCCCCGGATCCGCAAACCCCCTAGGGAAGCAGATATGGAGTAGGGATATTTGTAGCCATAAGAATGAAGGAAGCGCTAAACTCCTGGACCCCCATTTCAGACAGACTCATTAAGGCGACGTTTAGATGTAGGGCCAGGCCAATAACAATCGTGCAATGCTACGCCCTAACCGAAGACGCAAACGACGACATCAAAGACGACTTCTATACAACCTTATAACCACTCTCACTGACATACCTCGAGGCAACATCACCGTTCTCATGGGCAACTTCAATGCAAAAATAGAACCCAACGTAATAACAATGGAGATAGACTAATAGAAGTATGCCAAATGTTTCAGTTGATTATTGGAGGTAGTAGTATGTTCCCACACAGAGATAAATTGACCTTATTTGTATAAGCAGAAATGGAATGGAGCAGAATGGAGAAAGTCTCTACTGGATGTAAGAAACAAGAGGGGGAGCATCGATAGACAGCGACCACGAGGTGATCATTGGGGAGCTTTCAATCAAGCTGGACCGCAATCGCCCGCGAAATGCTGACTCAAGGACCCACCGCCCGTCCCCCCTCAACCTACACCTACTTGGCGAAACGGACATCAGCGCCAGACTTGCATCAACATTACGCACCCACCTACTACCGCATCAAGGCCAGACATGGGAACAGACGTGCGATACACTAAGGACCACCGCAGAAGGCATCATTGGCACCCAACAACGAAGAAGAAACAACTGGATATCTAGCGCAACGTGGGACACGATCAGCAAAAGGAACTCACTGAAATTACTGGCTGACCGCGAAAGCAATAGGCGCGACGAATACCGCGTATTATGCAAAGCTGTCAAGAGAGCAGCCAGAAATGATAAGAGAGCCCTACTGAATAAAATAGCAGATAATGCAGAACGCGCAGCAAATAAAAACAACATGCGATCACTTTACCAGATAATTGACCAAATCTCAGGAGGCTATAGGAGAAAGACCCAGCCAGTCAAAGATGCCAATGGAATACTAGTGACGACGACTAAATCCACAGATGGCGCCAACACTTCATGGAAATCAGCAACTCCGACATGCCTAGCCGGAGCGATGACTACAGAAGAATTGCGCCAGCAAATGGGAACCGGAGGATATCATCCGCCCCACCCTCAGTGAGAGAAATCGGAAATGCAATAAATAAACTGAAGAACAACAAAGCTGCCGGAATGGACGGCATACCAGCCGAAATCCTCCAAGTTGACACTCAACTGATGGCAGAAACATTGCACCCGCACTTCTCGAGTGCATAGAAGAGCGAACACATTCCCGATTCCTGGATATGCGGAGTCATAGTGAAATAACCCAAGAAAGGAGACCTTAGCAATTGCAACAATTGGAGAGGAATCACACTACTGAACATCAGTTACAAAGTCCTAGACACAATTATGAACGAACGCCTAACTGATAAATTCGAGCCCACACTAAGAGATGAACAGGCAGGCTTCAGACCACACAGGAGCTGCGTAGACCAAGTCAACACCCTACGCATCATAACCGAACAAGCTGTGGAATGGAGAGCACCACTGTACCTCCTGTTCATCGACTTCAAACAAACACTGGGGTCAAGCCAGGATGCCCACTATCCCCACGAGGTTATGAGAGAAGTGTGTAAACACAAGCATGGAGCTTCACCAGACATCTTGAAGACCTGGACTACGCAAACGACATCTGCCTAATCTTTAACAAACTAAGTGATATCCAATCCAAAGCTGATGACCTCGTGAACCTAGCCAGCCGTGTGGGTCTACAAATAAACACGGCAAAGACAAAAGCGATGCGCCTCAATCACGCCAGCCAAGGAAATATCATCGTAGGTGAAAACCCAATAGAATACGTCGAGAGTTCTCCATACCTTGGCACCGTAATCTCCAACAACGGTGTCGTGACAGAGGATGTGATGAGCAGGCTAGCCAAAGCCAGGTCTCTGCCTTCGGGAGACTCTACCGCATATAGAGAAGCCGTCAAATAAGCAGAAAAACAAAGATACGGATCTTCAACTCATGCGTAAAATCCGTCATACTATACGGAAGCGAGACGGGGCTCACAACACAGATAATAATCCAGCAATTGCAGGCTTTCACCAACAAGTGTCTCAGAATAATATGCGGGATTTTCTGGCCAAACAGAATCTCCAACATAGACCTCTAGAATATGACGGGTGAAACAGCAATAAGACTCCAAATCAGGAAGAACAAATGGAGATGGATAGGCCACGCACTGCGAATGGCGCCAGAATGGAACCCACAGGGAAGCAAAGCAACATGGAGACGAACCGTCCTTCAAGAGCTGTCCCAATACAACATCACATGGGGTACTGCGAAACAGACAGCAAGGAATAGAGTAAGATGGAGAAAATTAGTCGAGACCCCATGCTCCCAGGAGGAGTTATAAAGGAAAAAAAAAAAATTTCACTCTTGAATCACTCTTGAACAACGCTTGAAAATAGTGCAATTTGATTTCGAAAGTAATAGTTCTGTGCGGAATATGTATCGCGAACTACATCCATTTCATCGTCGACAAAATCGTCCATTAGAGTAGTTATTTCAATTAATCATGGAATGATTGCGCACCTCTCATTGCTCTTTGAAATACAACATTCGCTGTGTTATTGCCGATATAAGCCTTCCGGACGACCAGTGACCGTTGATACGGATAAAATCATGGAAATAGTGGATCGAGATCATCATGTGACTATTAGAACCATCGCAGAGGAGCTGCAACTTAGCACGGAAACCGTCCATAGGCATTTAAAGTCGAAAAATGTAACAAAAAAGCTCGATGTATGGGTGCCTCATGAGTTATCCCAAAAAAAACTTTTTGACCGTGTATCAATCTGCGAATCTTTGTTGCACCGTAATAAACTCGACGCATTTCTGGATCGGTTAGTCACTGGAGATAAAAAAATGGATCACATATGACAACATAAAGCGTAAAAGATCCTGTTCGAAGCATTGTGAGTCGCCTCAAACGGTGGCAAAGCCAGAACTGACGGCTCAGAAAGTGTTGCTGAGTGTATGGTGGGATATCAGAGGAATTATCCATTATGAAGTGTTGCCCTATGGCCAAACCATCAATTCTAACCTCTACTGTGAACAACTGGAGCGATTGAGGATTGCACTTGAACAGACGCGGCCAGCCATGGTGAATCGTAAGGGCGTTGCGTTCCATCTTGACAATGCCAGGCCCCATACATCTTTGGTGACGCGTCACAAGCTACGGGAGCTTGGTTGGGAAATGTTAATGCATCCACCTTACAGTCCGGACATTGCCCCAAGCGATTACCATCTGTTTTTGGCCATGCAAAATTTTTTCCATGGACAAAAATTGAGTTCAAGGGAGGATTGTGAAAATCGAATCGCCGATTGCCAGTAGAGACAAGGACTTCTTTAGGAGAGGCATATACAAGTTACCATCAAAATGGCAGAAAATAATCGAAGACAACGGTACATATAGCACTTAAATCGGACAATGCAAACTATGTTAAAATCGTCGTTAAAAATCAATAAAATAACCGGTATGTCATTACCAAACAACCTAATATTTTTCGATCTCTCTCATGGCAGCTATAAATTAGAGTTATCCGATTTTGATCAAATTTCATCCGAAATTCAATAGTAGTTAGAAAAAGCCATCTTGAAAAAACCAAGTCGATCTGATTAAAAACAACGGCGTGAGAATTTTTTTTCTATATATCGTATGGGAGCTATCCGATATAGTTGGCCGATCCGGCCCGTTCCGACTTATATACTTCGTGCAATAACTCCACACCTTTTGGGAAAGTTTCAGCAAGATAGCTTTAAAACTGAAAGACTAGTTTGCTTAGAAACAGGCAGGAGGACAGATGGACAGACGTACAGACATATTCAGATTCTGCTCGTGATGCTTAAATTGAGAAAAAGTTTCAAAAAAATT